AGGATTAAGCTATCAAAAACAAAACTTAAAAAAGAAAAAAAAATCAATGAAATTATGTCTATATTGACGAATCATAAGTACATCGTTTTACAATGACTACGATACCCGTAAAGGTGCAGTTTCTTGACTTCCTTTGTTTTGTTTTCTTTTCTATTTTTTGGTACATTTCTTCTTCTTTTTTTTCTATTTATTATATAATATATGTCCTATCGCAGAAAATTCTATTTTTTTAATGTATTTTTAGGAAATAGGCCGACCAGGCTGATGTGAACTGATGTTTAAACAGATTTCCCTTTTGGAATGGCGACAACACGATACCTGTAAAGGTGCAGTTTCTTGACTTCCTTTGTTTTGTTTTCTTTTCTATTTTTTGGTACATTTCTTCTTCTTTCTTTTCTATTTATTGTGGTGGATTAGTGACTGAAAATGATATGATGATTACTTTATTTCCATTCTTGATTTCAGTTTCTATGTGATTGTATTTTTTTGAACAATTTTTTACAAGAGGCAAGTCGAACCCAGCCCAGGAGAGGAGGGAAATGCACCGTGAGTGGCTATTGCTACTTAAACCAAAGGGCTCGGTGCGTTTTTATGTGATTGTATAAAGCACTTCTTTGGTGCAATTTAAATCACAAACAAAGGAATCTGAATTATGAAGAAAGCCCAGCAGAATCACTGAATTTTACTGACAAGCTTGGTGGGTGAGCATCTGAAACACAACAGGGATTGAAAGTTGTTTAAGAGATACAGAAATATCTTTTTCATTTCACACTGCATTTTGTGTTGTGAAAATATTTAAATATTTTTAATAAATTCTTGTATTCAAGGGTGTTTTAATATTTTTATAATTTTGAATTACACCTTTTTTTTTATCCTATGAACTCAAAAAAAAAAAATTCTAAATTTTAAAATCACAGAAAATGTTTTTGCAGCGATTAAAATACCCTTAATATTCATGAGTTTGGGTTGTGTTGATGAAATTTGAATTTATGTGTATTGCTGAAAAACATTTTGTCAATTTTAATCCAGACGGGCAATTTCCTTTTTCCTTTCTTAGTTGAAAAAAAAAAAAAACATATTCTCTTATCTCTTTATATAAGAAGTTTCATGTTAAACATATTGAAATTAATAATTAGATGAAGACATAACCCTCATGTCAGGGGTTGCCATCCAATAGTTTCAATTATATAATTTTATATAATCTAAATTATATAATATTTTTTATTTTATAATATGTCATAGTTATTGTCACACAAATGTTAAGACCACATAAAAACATTAAGTTTGTTTGGCTTAATATTGATTTTATAAGTTTATAATTCATTGAAATGTTTAGAAACATTAGCGTAAAAGTTAATTTTAAATTGTTGAGTAATAAATATTTAATATTTTATTAATAAATAAATATTCACTTACACATAAATTTTACATATTATATTAATTTACATAAAATTTTAATTATTCATCTCTTTATTTTAAATATTTAAGTTTTATCCATCTATATTAAAGATAATTATCTTTTTATTTAAAAA